GGTTTTGAAAACAATGTTTTGTTTGAGAAACTTATGCAGGACAGGTAAATTACGTTTGATTCTGTAGTAAGTAATGTATTTTTTAAAATTATGAAACATGCAGCATGCAGCGGTACTTTACTGCCTCTCTAGGTGAAATACAAAAATGCCAGCAGAGGCAATTCCAATGTACAGAACTGTTAAAAGGACGGGACACTGACACATGTGCACAATTCAAAATACAAACAATATATACATATATGTATATACAAACAGCTGTTGGACATATCTTCCACCACTGAATGGTCTTTATTGCCTTTAACTTCCACTTTTTTCCTGGGTTTGACATTACTTTTTCAACAATATTAATGTATTACACATTGGGATGCCAATTAATGTGACCAGAAGCACCAGCACACAAAACTCCACAATGTTTGGAAATATACACGGAGGCTGAGACAGTTTTTACACCCACCCCGCCACTCTCAAAGCCATATACCTGTGGGTTTTCTTTTCCATTACTTGTGACTGTGCTTTAATATTAGCACAATATCCCATCCTTCCTCCTCCTTCCTTCTCTCTTCTTTTTAGCTGAAGACAAACGCAACCATCTCTGTTTTTCTGTCTTTTAGAGTATACTCCCCCATCCGTCTCTCTCGGTATCTGGCCACTTTCTCTCCAACCGTTCCCTATCTTTTTCTCACAATGCATTTAAATGGGGTGTTTAGGGATTCCTGGCTGTTCTTCCCTCTTTACACCTGCTCTGAGGTAACCTCAATCCCTCAACAACGCTTTCAACCAGGAAAATGCCCCAGCTGCGCCGAAAATAGGCCCAAGGAGACATCTGCCAAAAACAACAGAAGGAACAGGGTGATATTTATGGGACCAAAAAAGAAAAAAAAAAGAAAAAACAACTTTCCCTGTCCCATTACTAAACCTAGGTTTATGCTGCATTGCTAAATTATCCAACGAGATGGCCAACTGGTTTCCTTGAAATGTCTTCATGAGACTCGGTGGAGATAAGCACTGCACATGTTGCTGCCCTTGAGAACCCCCACAACAATCTGTTAATTAAATAGCTGTCTACATCAAAACACAGTCACATTAATCTGATGTACTCCCACTTGTTCACTAGTTACATTGTTTACATTGATGTCTGTTGCAGTAGCATGGAGGATTTAATTATTAAAATTAATCATCTTAATTCAAAAAGTTGGTCAGCTTTTCTTAGATAGTAGAAGTATTTTTATACTTGGTTACTCAAATCACAACAAGTAAATTAATCTTAACAGTGTGTTTTTAACTTTAAATTTAGCAATAAGGAATAAATTACTGTTTCAGAAAAGAAAACAAAATAGTTGAAAGCGCAGATTTAGATATAATCAGAAGAAAATAATTTGCCAAAATGTAGTTCTCTTGTTAACAGCAAGTTATCAGCTACAGTGTTAAACAACCCAAAATGTTTTTCTTATTGCTCCTTCAAACAAATTTTTTTTATTTTTTATGTTTGCTGTTCCTGGTTTGATGAGCTCTAAGATTGTTAATAATTAGGACATGATTGTGTGTATTACCTCACTTTATATAATTACTTTTTTCTCCATCTCCAGGAGGAGTTCCTCGGCGACTGCAGAAGGGTTGGGTTTGTGCATCCCTCCTCCTTTTCTACAAACCCTTCCTGTGCTTAATGTGAGGACGAGTGCCAATGTGTGAGGTGAATAGGAGAGTAACCTCTGGTTTGGTCATTTGGCACTCTCTAATGCATCATACTGTAGTGCTCACACATGGGGAACTGGTTAAGTTTTGCTGTTCAATTATACGATGCTCTGTGTACAAGCTGCATAACTTGAAGACATGTAGCACAGAATATGAATGTCACCAATGAAGTTGTAAAAATATTTCCTTTAAGTTGTTAATATTGGCTTTCATTTCAATTTTTTATAGTTCAGATGTGATCAGAGGAATAATTTGAATAAGGTGTGCTTCCGTTGTCAAGATACTAAATACAAAATTCGATATCCAGGAAACTATTTTAGTGACTCGATACGATTGGGATATAAAATGCCAAATAAATGAAGGCATTACTTGACATGAAAAACTCCCTCATTTTCAATCTCAACGTGGAACATGATTTTCCAACAGAATCACAGATTAATTAACTCTGCAAATAAATGTAAATTAAATAACCTAAATACAACAAAATTTGACAATATTCTGTGGTTGTTTGTGGAACTATTCTTTTAATGTGAAAATACTTTAGAAATCTAGAATTAATATTAGCAAAACAACAATATGCAAACAACGCTTTAGTATTATTTAGGGTCGTTACCATGTCCGATTAGTGTTGTATCTGGATACAGTCTGTTTTATCTGCAGTAATAGGTTAAGAAATTAAATAGATCTTTCATGAAATCTTCCACCAATGCCTTCTGTTTTGTTCAAAGTGTACTAAAACTTATAGTTAGATAAAGCTTATAGTTAGAGTGGGTCAGGTTATCCAGAGCTATCTCTATAGTTATGCTGCTATAGGCTTAGATTGCTGGAGGATATAGGGACCCCTTTTCATTATTCTATATCTATTATCCCATTGTGCAGATTTTGTTAGTTCAATCTCTAACATTATGCTCTCTCTGCTTTTCTCATCATAGTAGCTTCATCTGTTCTGTTCCGGTCTGGCTGTGACACCATTCTGGAGAGAAATATCAGCTGTTCTGCTGTCATCAACACCTTTGTTTATAGATGTTGTAGCTTGGCCTGTTTTTCAGTGTAGTCCTGTTTCTCTGACTGTGACCAACTATATGTGCTCTCTTTTATCCTCTGACATGGGAACTGGCTTGGTGCTCATCTGCCTTGCTGAGGGTTTTCTAGACGGGGCCGCCTGTGGAGCTGGTTTAGAGTTGCCTTTTGTATCTTTGCTTCTTTCTGTATGTCTGCTTCTGTCTCCTTAAACCCCAGTCGGCAGATGGCCGCTCACACTGAGCCTGGTTCTGGTGGAGGTTTCTTCCTGTTAAAAGGGAGTTTTCCTCTCTACTATCACTACAAGCATGCTTGGTGTGAGGGATTGCCTTCGAGTCAATGAGTTGATGCAATCAGCTGGTTTTTCCTAGATGGAAAACTTTGAGTTAATTTGGCTGTATTGTCTCTGTAAACTACTTTGAGATGACATGTGTTGTGAACTGGCACTATATAAATAAACTGAATTGAATTGAAAACCTGTACCACTATATTATACTACACTACTGTACTCCTTTCAACATATAATTACGCAAAAAAACTAACTACTGCCTTCAAAATACTTTGTGTTGTTTATTTTAATTTTATACATAGCTCAGACGATTTTCACGAACATTACAAAACACATATTCGTGTGGAATGTTTCCTGTTTTCATTAGTCTTTCACAGACACTGACTAATTCAATATTTATAGCGTGAAAGTAACTTTTCATCCCCTTAAAAAATATATAAAAACTTCAAAATGTCTTTTTTACTCAAGTTTTTATATCTCATTAGATGAGGATATTGATTAAAACAACCCTGTTCATCTAAATTAATTTTACTAGTAATCTTTAAAGCTCCCAGGCTTCGATATAAATTGAAATTAGCAAAAATCTAATCTGTATATATAGAAAAGGAAAAAAATATTAAACTTATCAAAAAGACAAGAAACTTGTATGGCTAGCATTAAGGTACTGTAGTTAAAATTTCTGAAAATGAATTCATTATTTTAACACATGATGAGGGGATATTAATGCTCACACTCATGGAAAAAAAGAATGGAGAAACTGGGCTAATACACTATAAATGTTGGTACTTAGGACTGAAAACATATGTTATGATTGTAAAATCTTCTAATGGAGAAAATTAGAATAAAAAAAAAATCTAGAGTTAAAACATGATAACCCTAAAAGAAATACCGTTCAAATGTTCAGCATCACATAAAAAAATGTCTTTATGCAGATTATCATTCATTGAAGAAAACCTACACAGATTTTCTTTGCTTGTGAGTGTAGGGATGCAGGAAGGAAGACAGGAGAGAACACAGGAAGCACTAGGAGAGCGAAAACTCTAAATTATCTCTCTTTTAAAAAAAAGGCATGAGTATGATCAGTGTCCCATATCTTTATACTGTTAATTGCATAAGCAAAAATGCTAAAACTAAGTGTAAATAAGTTTTTTGAATATATTTCATGTCACTTTGTAAAAACCAGCAAATAATAAGTAAGGCACTTAACATTACATTTTGCTTATATATAATAAAAATGACACTTAAAAAGGTATGATTTATTTTAGGATAGGCTGATATAAATTCCCTATGCTTTCTCAATCTGTACTTTTGAAACAATTTGTTAGTGTGGTTTTTTAAGGGGATAGTTGGTGAGGGGCAGGCTCACTCAGAATGGACACCAAACAGCAACATGTGGTTCATTATAAATAAATTTAAAAAATTTACATTTGAAAAAATGGGGATTATTAAACTGATAAACCAAACACCAATTGTGAAACGAATCCTGATTTGTACATATTCTGAGAATTATAAAGCAAAGAAGATTAAAAGGTAAACATGCAAAAAATTGTGTTTCAGCTGAGAAGAAAAGGCAAACACACACACACACCTACTTGTTCTGCTATATGTAATGAGGACCATGTGTTGATTCCCATTAAGTTCCATTGGTTTTCAGTCATTGTCAACCCTTTCTATGACCTAACCCTAAACCTTACCATTACCAATGCATACCCCACCCTAACCCTCACCCAATTGTCAACTTAGCCCTAAACCTAACCATTATCAAAAAAACTTGTGAGGACGAACAAAATGTCCTCACTTTACATCACTCATTGTAATGGTGAAATTGGAAAAAAGGTCCTCACTCTGATGGTTGGACATCTGTTGTATGTACACACACACACACATTAATGCAAAACAAATTCTACAATGTGAATTTATGGGTCCTTTGTGTAAATAAGCCAGCAACCAAAATGATTTTTCTTAATTTTGTATGGAAATGTGAATTACAATTTCTTACCTAGTCTTGGGTCATACTGTCGCATTTGAACTTCTTCCACACAATCTGCTGGAAACCAGCCTGTTCTTCCTTTGACGGTGCCTTCCCAGAAACCTCCTTCACCTATACTTAGTACTAATACAGAGAGAAGACAAGAGGATCATCACTATTAATGTGATAAAACAGGCTGAAGAGGCTTTTGCATGTTGGAAAATAACTAAAACACTCAGGTGAACATAGAGCATGAATAAAATAAGTATAGAGAAAAGATAAAATAAATTGTGAAATTGTGAATACAACAACAAGAAGTAACATTTTTGTCTAACAAATACATAACATGGATAAAGAAAACTAAATATGCATGGATAACTTTTCACTTTGTTTGAAAGCTTCTCCATAGTTTGTAAAAAGTCACCATGTTATAATGATGTTCAAAATCTCATTCCCTATTGATGGGCTAAATGTTGCAATAAAAGTGACATAACATAAAAGTGGAAAACAATCATTGAACTGTCACCTGTACACGATGCAACCTTCATAGTAATTTATAGTTGGTTCCTTTTACATTGCTTTTTTTTTATCTTGCCACGTTTGCTGGTACATAAAAAAGTGCTTTAATTGTGAAAAAAGTGATTTTTGTATCACATAAGGTTATTTTACATCTTTCAAGTGTGTGTGCATGTTGATGTATAGTGGATATTTATCCGGATCAATAATGTTGAAGCGAGTGTTCTACTGGTTAGAATCGCGCAATGCCGTGACGTCACCATGTTTTTCTAATTATACTTTTCTATACTCAGGTTTAAACTCACAATATTTAGATGAAAGCTTTCATGTAGTTATTATGACAAATATTTACATCATAGGCAGTCCATCTTCCATGCAATGAAGGATGCAAATATGCACATTTTCCTTACAACCGAAACATAAATATCTCTACCTCTCCTTAAATCTATGTTAAGTCTTTCCTTCCAGGCATGTCAGAAATATATTGTAAATAAAATTATGAAAACTAAAACACAAATCTAAGTTAGTTGCCCATACTAAATTAAAAAACAGTTTTTGGATTTCAGAGTTTGTGCACGGGTAAAACTGTGCTTTTGTCACAGTAGGAAAGGGTATGGGCAGAACACTACAACACATAATATAATAGATCAAGCAAAAAATTAGCACTTTAGGAAAAAATCATAAAGTAAATCATCATAGATGACATTGATTTATATATGTGTAGGGTGTTACACTAAGGCATTAACTATGAAGCAGTGATACAAAGATATTGCAGGGAGTTTGTGGTAAAGTGATAAATGATCTCAAAGTGAATGTGATGAAGAGATGGCTCACAGATAGCCAGCTGGGGGCCCAGCTTTAGCAGATGTTAGTGATTTGAATTGAAACTCAAAATGTTTCTATTCGTGGGATTTAATGCAATAATCACAAAAAAATAAATAAATAAATAAAAAAAATAAACATCACAAGAATATTAAAGCTTTGAGTCTGCAGGGGTTGTTTTCCACTTCAGAAAGGCAGAGGGTTATAGAGAGCCTGTTGCAACTGACAAAAGCTGACTGGACTCAAAGTGAGCAAAATAGGACTGACAGGTCACAGGTAGAGAGGCACACTGACATGACAGACTCATCCAAAGGAAATGCGAGTCATAAAAACGCTATGGGTGCAAATGCGTGCAAGTGCATGAATTCAAAGCAAATACAAAAATTAGAGTAACAGAAACACTGTTTGTATAAAACATTTCAATTTGAACTATTCTTAAATTAATAAAATCACCATGACCACTCAGCTCCATTTACAGTAGCTTAGTGTTGACTTCCACACACTGCAGTTTTACATTTTTTACAACAGTGAGATAAGGCTTTTTCTTTTAATATAAGGCCTATAAGTAGTTATTTGAGTTGTATTAAATATTGTCTCTAGTATCTTATTAACATCTTCATTTTGGTAAGTCTAGTTCTCTCTGTTTTCTGTTCTCTTTACTTCCTGTTTCCTTGTTGTTTCTGAATTTTTTTTGTCTTCATTTGGATTTGAGTATTATTCATTTCTGGGTTTGCTTTTTTTGTGTATATCCTATTTGTTTCTGGGCTGTGTTCACTTCCTGTTTCTAAATTCTTTCTCCTTGGGTGCGTTTGAATTCATGGGCTGCGTCTTCCAAGGACGCAACCTTGTTTTATTGTAAAGTAAACAAAGAATATACTCATGAGAATAGAGTGGAATAATGGTGACAACCACCAGGAGCATGAACAAATTATAGCAAATGTAATGATATAAATCTTAGTCAGTTAAATAACATGCTGCTGTCATTGTGCACATATTACATCAGATTGTGCTCTGATGTTGCTGCTATTATCAAATATCCATTTCTGTAAATTTCCATAGCTTTATTTTGGTTATTTATTCTCCAGTTGCACCGTTTTATATTGTCAAAACACTTTACAGTACAGTATTTTATTGTTTATATTTTAACTCTTCACTATTATGTTATTTGCATACATTTTTCTAAGGTCTACATTTGTGTGACCATTTTTTTTCTATAATCTTTCTGCTGCATTCTGTAATTCTGTAATTCTGCTGTAAACACCAGAATTTCCCCATTGTGGGATAATAAAGGGATTTTTTTATTCTATTCTATTCTATTCTATTCTATTCTATTCTATTCTATTCTATTCTATAAAAGGGGTAAAAAGATATAAGTAAATCTAAACAATGTATGTATAAAAAATATATCTGCAAAATCTCTTATATTCAACAATAAAAAACAACAAAATAGCAATAAAAAAATTAAAAATCATATCATATTTATAGTCCCCAAACTGCAGATCCATTAGAATATGTCCTTAAATTACAGCCAAACCCATTTACACAGTAACAGATAAAAACCTTTAGACAAATCAAACATTACCGCCACATATCTGACTGAATAACCATTAAAACAACAATTTTAATTCATTTCAGACAGAACTATTCACATACTTGTATTGTATTTAACTGAACTTCCAATATTCACCACTGTTCGGTGCCAAGTACCTTTTTCCTCTGAGCATGGAGAAGTCGGCTCGGTTCGATTCGCAATGAATCCTGGGATAACCAAGGATAGAGAGGATACACCAGACATATCCTTCAAATGTGTCCAGTGTAAAAGAAGGGCACATTTGTAGGCCACATAAGAGGAGTCTTGGAATCCGATCAGACCTTGGCGCCTAAATTCGAACGCAGCCTTTGACCACGTCTGTTTCTGATTGCACTCTCAGCTGTTCTACTCTGCTCATTAGTCTCATCTGATTCTTCCTCCACACATCAATTCTCCTTGGCATATATTCCCTCTTTGGTTCTGTAGTCACTGTTTGTTCAGCTCTTTAACCCTGCTCAATACTGTTAAATCCTGCTACAGTATGCCCTGTGTAACTCTGGCCTCATTGTCTTTACACAATGCTCCTGATTTTGGATTTAAAAAGATTCACAATCTTCAGGTCACATTTTTTTAACTATATTTTAGGACTGAACTTTGTATAAAAATATATATTTTTTAGAATTATTATAATTTTTTGCTCCATGTCTGATTTCATTTTACCTGCATACTGGGTTCCTTCAGAACCATTTAAACTTTTTGTGATATAATTACCTTTAACTAACCTTGCTTAAAAATCCCACACACAACCTTGCGTCTAAGTACTACTGTCAGCATATCCTACAACAAATGCTGGTCAGATATGTGAAAAGCAGCAGGACCAGGTGAAAGACAAATCTACCGTGTTTCTAAAAGAGGTCTTTTAAAGACACAAGGATGATTGAAGGAAAAGAGAGTTTCCCACTAACTTCCGCCATGATAATTAGAGATGAATGTATAGTTGATATTGATCTTCCCTGCAGGGCTGAGCCAGCACGCTAATTTCTACAGCACTCATCTATTATCCCACCAAGCTAACAGACACTCGGCTCGCACACACATGCAGAATCCTCAGAGATCACCGGCTGGAACCAAGGCTTTGCCTGAGCGAGCCCTTCTTCTAAACTTGTTGCTAGGATACGCCAGTGCGATGTTGCAGCCAGCAGACAGCCCACTAAATGATGTACTCTACTTCCTCCAACTATATTCCACTCTGGCATGGGGAAATGTTGTGGTGATGTAACTCTTTAAAAGACAGCCAGTGTGACTCCTAAATGCTAGAATATTCATCATGTTTAAAAGTGTTTCAAACTATTGCAGGATTTTCTGAAACACATGCATTTTCACATGCATATGAAGAGGGAAGCTCATGCTAAAACTGTTAGAACATAAAAGTTAAGCTCATTATCTTAAAGCAGGATATCTTTAAAATGCCCTCTACTGTCTTCTAGGATACACTCTGAACTTGTGGGGAGTGGCGGCCCAGTGGTTAGGGCATAGAGCTTGGAAATTTGGGGTTCTGAGAATGAGCCCCCCTCCCACAGACTGCCACTCTGGCTCTCTGAGCAAGATCCTTAACCCCACACTGCTCCCCGGGCACCCAATGATGGCAGCCCACTGCTCTCCAAGGGGATGGGTTAAATGCAGAGGTAAATTTCTCCAATGTGAGATCAATAAATTTTAGTTATTATTATTAAGAAGTAGTCATTAGAAAGAAAAAAAATGTCAGCAGAACTGAACTTCACAATCCACTCAGTAAACCCAAAGATAAATCGGTATTATTTTGTTTAATCTCCTTATCTTATTGCGTGCCATAGGGTGTCACACTCCCAGGCAGGACAGAAACTTCCTTGAAGAGAGAAGCAGTGTATGACAGAGGTGAAACGGTGTTTATTGATTCCGAAGAAAAAGAAAAAAATAATACAGAGGACTGATCCTCCCTCTCTGATCAGCGATCTCACCTTAACACAACTTTACCCTCCCTGTCTCCTGAGAGGACAAGCACAATCTATATATTTCATGGTTATACTCCGTTTTTTTCTGTTTACTCCACACCTGCCCCCTGCCTCCTTCTCAGTATTTCAAATGATTTTCCCATTTGCTGTCTGGTTCTCCCTCTTTGTCTGCGTGCCTGTCTATAATGTAGTGGGGTCTCTGCAGCAGACAGGTGCCAGCTGGGCTCTTTGTTCTCCATTGGCAAGGATGAAAGAAAAGGTAATACCTCAGCTTGATCTTTAAA